GTGTGTGTGTGTGTGTGTGTGTGTGTGTGTGTGTGTGTGTGTGTGTGTGTGTGTGTGTGTGTGTGTGTGTGTGTGTGTGTGTGTGTGTGTGTGTGTGTGTGTGTGTGTGGACAATGCAGTGTCTTCCTCTTCTCTATTTCACGTTTTTGTACCACACGCTACCTGTTCATGTTTGTGCTCACAATGATTGCTGTGTACAGCTACAACATCCGCAAATTGAGGGAGCAGGCTTTTCATCTAATCGGTGCGCCACTCAAAACCAAAATTACCGCGTGTCTTGCTTCACTTACACAGTCATTGTCTGCGCATCATCACACACTTATACACCTGTTCGACACCAATACACACGTCCACCCACTCACACGTCCACCCACTCACACACGCACATACGCACACACGCACACGCACACGCGCGCGCACACGTCCACCGACGATCATCACCACCATCAGCTGCGTGCCAGTGGGACGACGTGGTTGAGAGCTGCTTCTCCAACTTTGAGTACATGCGCATGCGCATCATCGCCACCTCTCTCGACGAAGTCCTTGAAGACTTGGACGCGCTCCCAGGTGCGTATCTATGTGTTGTGTGCATGCGCGTGCAGCTGTGTTAATGTGTATGTGTGTGAGTTTGTGCGTGATTTTCGCATTGTTGAAAGCATGATTTCATTTGTCCAACGAGTCATCACTTCATTCCACATTTTCTCACACCACCGCCCCCATGTCATCTGCCCTTCCCTTGGTACAGAGCGTGTGTCTTCGCCCTTGGCTGGCGTGTTTGGCGCCATTCAAGAAGCCAAGTTCGTCCTCGAAGCAGACCCTTACCAGGTGACAATGCATGTGGTTGTGCTATTGCGGTGCTGAGGCAGGATTGTTGAGGTCAAGGCAGGAGAGCGTGTGGAGGAGACAACTGCACAGTGGTTGTTCCTGTGGTATCTGCCGTGTACACGCGCGCTCACCTCGCCTCACCTGCTCCCTGTTGTTGACACCACAACCCATGTTGTGATGTCTGCTTCATTCCTGCTGTCTCTTCTTCAACAGCTCATTTCCCAGGTTGCTGCCCGTCTCCTGCCACCGCTCAAGACCCCAGCACCTGTCAGAGGGTACGTATGTGCGTGTGTATTCGTATTTGTATTTGCGTTTGTGCAGCTTGTGTGTTTGTGCATCCAAGAAGAGTCAACGTTTTAGATCTGTCTCTCACGTGTGCCTGATCACATGCACGTATACACGTTTGTATCTCTCCCCTTTGCTCGTTCACACACACACACACACACACACACACACACACACACACACACACACACACACACACACACACACACGCACGCACACCGTCCATGCAGGTTCCTGTCTGTGATCCTTGAGGGCGCTCGGCTCCGCGGCACCCTGCGTGACGCAGCACTCCTCCCTGTACATGCGTGCATTCCAAGCACACACGGCGCTTCGCTCGCAGACCTGCAGACGTATGTGCACTGAAACATGTCCTGCTGCTTTCACTTGCTGTTGCCTGGCCACCAAACGTGTACACTTTACAAGCGTCCTCCCTTCCCTCACCTCCCTCGTACACACACACACACACACACACACACACACACACACACACACACACACACACACACACACACACACATGCACACACCTTCACACACACACACGTGCACACAACAACGGTGTGTAGACACAACTTTGCCGTGCGCGGCATCGGGGCTGCTGGGCATGAGGATATGTACGTGACTGTTTCTGACGATAAGCGCACAAAAGTCTGGCGGCTCGGTAACCCAACGCCTATTCATGATGTCGACATTCTCGCAGACTGGGGCAGGTGCGTTGCTTGCAGCCGAACGTGCATGGGAGAATGGACGCATGTTTGTGTGCACATGTGCGCGTGCGCATGAATGTGTTGTGATTGAGGCATCAGATCGACTGCTGTCCCCCCACATTGGTGAACACACACCGACGTCCGTGTCTGCCACTCACCCACATCACCACCACACCACCCCTCATTTGTGTGATCAGGGCCGCTGCAATGTCGCCGACGGGGGAGTTTGTGGCGATTGCCGGCTACGACGAGCGAATTGTTGGCATCAACCTGGCAACTGGCCAGGTATTGGTGATGATGATGATGATGATGATGATGATGATGATGATGATGATGATGATGATGATGATGATGATGATGATGATGATGAGAGGAGGAGGAGGAGGAGGAGGGAGGAGGAGGAGGAGGGAGGAGGAGGAGGAGGAGGAGGAGGAGGAGGAGGAGGAGGAGGAGGGAGGAGGGAGGCGACCACTGGCTGCCCCCAATGACTATGGCAATACAATATCCGTGTATCAAATACGCAATGCTCCCGGAGCCTTAGGACTCCAAGCGTGGGATGCCTTTTCAACTATCAACCGCCAGTTAGCACTGGGCCCTCCAACTGGTTTCACCGAATGGTACCGATACGCTGGACAGATGGTTTCTAAGGAGTCATAACGGAAAACATGTCAGATTTTACCATCCAAGACAGCCGGGGCACGATGATCTTTCTGGAGGGTATCCAATGGATAGTTATGGTCCAATGCGATCAGGGGGCCCGACATACTTTGAAGCTAGCACGCACTGTATAGTCTTGAGCTACTGGGGAAGGGTGTGATTATCTCAGTAAATACGGACAACAGGAGGAGGAGGAGGAGGAGGAGGAGGAGGATGATCGGCAGCGTGCGTAGCGCTTGCCTTGATTTCGTCGCACCTACCATTGCCGCATTTCATCACATCTCACCCAACACGTGCTCACACAATGCTGCGCTATCAATTCCCTCGTCGCTCCAACACCAGACCACGTTTTCCCTCAAGGGCCACACGTCGTTTGTGAATGCGCTCGCTGTCTTCTCCGAGGGAAAACTGCTCGTCTCCGCCAGCGACGATTCTCTTGCGTACGCACCCCACTTTGCTCATGCACACATACGCACACACATAGACACATGCATAGACATAAACACACGCACCCACACAGCCACATTGCCACACACGCACACACACACACACACACGCACACGCACACACACACACACACGGCCACACGCATCTCATGCCGAGCCCCATGTGCTGGTGCCTGCAGGCTGGTGTGGGACCTGGTGCGCGGGGTTGAGCTGACCCGCCTCTCCGGCCACGATGGCGGTGTGCTCAGCGTCGCTGTTGTTGGCGCGCGCCGCGTTGCAACCGCTGGGGCAGACGGTCAGTCAATGGTGGTGATGGTTGGTGATGGTTGGTTGGTGGTATTGTTTGTGCGTTGCTGTGTTGCGTGCGCTCCCACCGATTTGTTCACCTCCATCCCTCCCGTCGCGATTTCCCTCATTGCAGGCAAGCTGCGGCTGTGGGACATTGACACTGGGGCGTGCTCCAATGTTCTTCACGGCCACACAGGCGCTGTCCTCGCTGTTGCAGCAACATCTCGCTTCTCACACATCATCTCCGGTCAGTGATGGTGACATGAATATGTGTGTGTGTTTGTGAATGTATGTTTGTAAACGTGTGAATGTATGTTTGTGTGTGTTTGTTGATGGATGCGGGTGATCTTGTGCGCGTAGTCTGTGCTGCTGCGCCTGTGTACTTTGCATGTACTGTCGCGTTGTGTCACCCCTTGCTGTCGTCTCATGTGCCATCACCACCGCAGGCGGAGAAGACAACAGCGTACGCATTTGGCCGATGCCTGGCAAGTCCACAGGCGACATCAAGGTTTGTGCCGCAGTACATTGTTGCTGCTGCTGGTGCATGCATTAATGATGGTGATGGTGCTTCGTGGCCGTGGTTGTGGTGGGTGCATGTGTGTGTGTGTGTGTGTGTGTGTGTGCGCGCGTGCGTGTGTGTGTGGCAGCTATCGTTCACTCGACTCACGAATCGCACTCACGTGGTTGTGCATGCTTCCTTCGTGACCACCACTCTGGCGCTGCGTCGCTTGACAGGATGCGGAAGTCGTCTTCTCTGCACACTCTGCCGCCGTCACCGCCGTCTCACACACGCACACGGGCTCTGGGCTCATTCTCTCCGGATCAAAGGACCACACGATTCGGTGTGTACATGGGAGGAAGGAATGGAGGTGGAAATAAGGACGAGGGAAGCGCTGGTGTGGGGGAACGAGGGAGTGCATGCATGTGAGTGCATGCATGTGAGTGCATGTGTGCATGCTTTTGAGTACATACGCGAGTGCGTTGTGTGAAGGTGAGTCAAGAATAGTTGACGACATGCCTGGTGTCTTCCTTGCCATTACGTCGTCCCATCTGCTCATGGCATCGCTGCCACTCGAACATTTGCATGCTTCGCAGGCTGTGGAACTTTATCAAGCGCACGCCCGTGTGTGTGTTCAAGTGCGCGAGCCCCATCCTGTGCCTGTCTGTGATTGCCAACTCGACTGTCGTCGTGTTTGGCACCGAGGCCGGAATTACAGGGCAGCTGGAGCTCCATCGAAGTGAGTCATGCAGGCGCGTGGCTGCTCATGTGTTTTGTTGGTGAGGATGCTGGACTCTTGATGCTGCCATGAATATGTTGTGCCTGCGCATTTCACTCCACCTCACCCCTCTTCACCCCCACACTCGCTCCCCGCGACCACCACCACTTGCATCGCCACCGCGACTCTCCCCCTCCTCCTCCTCCTCCTCCTCCTCCTCCTCCTCCTCCTCCTCCTCCTCCTCCTCCTTGTGTGACACCACCAAGCGACGGAGAGTTTGCGGAACCGGGCGACGTTCCTGCCTGATGACAGCGAAGACACTGCTGACAACGACAGAAGTGGGCAGCAGACAGCAGCAAACACAGGTGGGGTGGCCGGTAGGGGAGGATGTGAGGGCGGGAAGAGCGAGTGCGTTGACTGCGGTAATGAGATGGGGAGGGGAGGTGTTGGTGGTGTGCACACATGATGTGGTGGCTCATGTCGCTGGTCTGCATGGTTGAGCCTGTCATCACCATCCATGTCCTCCCCAACATGGTGCAACATGATGCAATGCCAGATCGACCGCCTCTCAGGAAGACGTCGTCCGCCATTTCTGATGACGTGAGCACTTGTGACCGCGTGTATTCGCTCGTTGCTGCTCACCCATCTGCATCGTGCTGTTGCACTTTCCCAGACCCATGTGGTCATACTTTTTCATCCTTTCTCCTACTCGTGCACATTTTCCCAACACATTCCCATTTCACCGACTGATTCACTGCTTCGCTCAACTCCCAACCCACCAGCCTCCAACTTTCCAAACTTCCACCTTCCCGTGCACCAACAAAACCACTCATGCAACCCCCCCTCCCTCGACCTTCCTCCTTATCATTGTCCATCAGGCGTACGGGTTCGCGCGCTCCGCCCTTGCGTCTGTGAGCGATGATCTTGACAGCAGCAAGGACGCCCCAGCATGTATGTGCACGTTGCGAGCGATGTGGCGTGGGTGTATGTGGGCGTGGGTGAGTGTGTACCTCATTGTATATGTTCTTGTTTCTGTGCGTGTGTGTGCGTGTGCGTGTGCGTGTGCGTGTGTGTGTGTGTGTGCGTCTGATGGCGCGAGACCTCACTGCCGTGCTCACTGACTGCTGCCCTGTGCCTGTCATATCTGATCATTTCGGCATTTCCTCCAGCTCCATCGAGAACCAGGTGCGCTCAACGACAGCAGCAACGCACGTGTGCATGCGATGTTCATGTTCAACACAACTATTTTTCATGCAGCCAGCGCCTCAATGGTCCTTTTCGCGCGCAACACCATGCTGTACCTCACCACCTTGGCATGTGTCTGCATGTGTGTGTGTGTGTGTGTGTGTGTGTGTGTGTGTGTGTGTGTGTGTGTGTGTGTGTGTACAGGTCGCGGCCACAGTCGATGGAGGCTGGGATTGCGTTTTCGCAACTGCGGCAGATGGCGAAGAACGAGAGCGACTTCAAGAAAGGGGTGGGCGCCTGCTGTGAACAAGTGGCTGCTCGTGCGTTGTGCGTGTGTGTGTGTGTATTGTTCTGTGTTGTGCGCATTTGTGCGCATTTGTGCGTGATGCGAAAGTGCATGTTATGTGTTGCCAGCTGTGCATCACATTGTGCCACTAACACCATCTGCCATCGCTGCTTTGTCGTTAGGACTACACTGACGCGTCGGATGTGGAGAAGCAAGCACTTGAGCGGCAAAGCTCTTTCGAACAGAGGGTGAGGTCACATGCAGTGGTGTGTGTGTGTGTGTGTGCCTGTGTGTGTGTGTGTCTGTGTGTGTGTGTGTGTTTGGGTGCGTCCCGTGCCATTCCTCACCTTACCTCCACTGGTTCAGGTTCTGCACGAAGAGAACGAGGAAGACGAAGCGAAACCAAACGCAGCAACAGCTGCAAAGGTGAGACAACAAGTGCTTGCATGCTCACGCACATGCACACACACGCACGCGCACACACACACACACACATGTAACCCCATGCAACGAACCCATGCAACCACACGCTCGCGTTCACGTCCGATCCTGCGTTACTGCTGTTCAAAAGACGCCACAATTGAAGGACGTTGAGCAGCCGGAGGGATTTGCAGTCGAGGTCGCAGCGGCAGAGAACGGAAACGGGGTGCGGCGTGTGTGTGTGTGTGTGTGTGTGTGTGTGTGTGTGTGTCGACGAGTCGACGAGTCGTCTCACGTATGTCGTTTCATGTGAAGCTGGTGATGGTGTGTGTATTCATGGGAACACATGCAATCCAGTTGCACTCTCCACCACCACAACGCACTCACGTGATCGCCTTTCACCCACATGACCACTTCACCCTCCACCCCCTCTCGTCCTCGTGCTTTGCAGCATGCGTTTGAGCCGAAAACGCTGAGCCGCCCCCGCGAATTCCTCTCGTCCCGCAAGTTTGACGCCCTCGAAGCAACCAACCTCTCCGTCGAGGCAAAGCAGGTGTGTGTGTGTGTGTGTGCGCGCGCGCGTGTGCGCGTTGTATATTGTGTTTGTTTGTTATGTGTGCGTGTGGTTTTTTCTTTTTGTGTGCGTGTGTGTCTGTCTCGTGTGTGGAGAAGCGCTGGTGCGCCCACGCCCTTTTCCCACAATGGCACAGCGTTCAAGTGCACACGCTGCTGCTGCGGCTATTTTGTGTCCATACGTGACCAACGCTCGTGCGTACGTACTCACCCAAAATGAACCCGACCAAACAACCACTCGCATACGCGTACGTGTGTGCGGCACTTAGGCTGCGTTTGAGGCGCTGGTGCTTGGAGAGAACCCGGAAGTGCTGAACATGGAGATGGAGCAGCGGCAGCGGCGGCCAACAGCCCCGCTCGAACGGCTGCAGATGGAGGAGGAGGCAAAGAGCAAGGGGTGCTGCACCCTGCTTTGAGACCACGGGTGTGATGCATTTGGGGGGGGGGCGTGTGTGTGTGGGTGATGGTGATGATGATGATGATGATGATGATGATGATGATGATGGTGGTGGTGATGATGATGATGATGGTAGTGGTGGTGGTGGTGGTATCGCAACAGGCCAGTGAGCCGGTCAACAAGCCAGCGAATGGGGTTATTTTGAAGCAACAGTGTGGACAGAAGATCAGATGCATGGGAGTGGTTGGACGTCGTTTGCTGTGTGTGTGTGTGTGGGGGGGGGGTTTATTGTTTATTTTGTTTGTCGTACAAATGGACTGCTTTCTGTTCTGCTTCTCCTGCTTTCGTCAGCTTCACTTGTATCTATCCCCGTGTTCTCTTCATACAACATGTGTGCACTTCCTCTTTTTGTCTTGTTTGCAAGAGTGTGTGTGTGCGCGCGACATGTCTGTGGATGTACGTGTGTGTGTGTGCGCGCGCGTGTGTGTGTACATGTCTGTGCAGAGCTAAAGCAATTCGTTCGTCGAGGCAATGTGTCGCGGAAACTAAGCGAGAGAGACAGAGAGAGTATGCGTGTATGTTTGTGTGTGTGTGTGTGATTACGTGGGTGTGACATGTGATCGGACAGATGGGCAGACAGACACCACCACCAACAACAACCAACAACAACAACCAACAACAACAACAACAACAACTTAAACAACAACAAGTAAGCGCACAAACACGTGGTAACTGAATTCAGTCCCGACCGTTATCGAGCAAGCAAGCAAGCAAGCAAAGAAGGCAACAACACAACACCATGGACGCGCAGGAGTTCCGGCGGCTGGTGCAGCAGCGGCTGGAGCACGCAGGTATCGCAGGGCGGGTGCGCACTGGCCTCAAGGCAGAGGTCATTCGCACGCTGGGGCGGGAGCAACAACAACATACTCGGCCCCAACAGCAACACAGCAGACAACAGAGTGGACAACAACCAACGCCAGCACAGGCAGCATCGCTCCGACTGCCCTCACCAGACCAGCCACCGCCTGCAGACGTGTGCGGGCTGCACCGCTTGGTGCTCGATCACCTGGAGGCGTGTGGGTTTGACTACAGCAGGGCCATCTTTGCTTCTGAGCTGGCAGACTCGAGGGCCGTCGACCGCGCCTCTGCGGGGCAGCTCACCCTTGGTCATCTGCAGCAGGCTTGCTCTGTCGACTACCTCTCCCCACATGCAGAGAGGTTGCTGACCAGTGTCCTGGTGGGCGATGGCACAGCAGACGATGTGGTGGTGCCAAGCGCCAGCACGTTGCTTCGCCTCGTGCACGCGCTTGCGCAGCCGCTGCGGACACAGCGCCATGCCATAGCAACGCAGACGTCAAGCGAGGACTGGGCGCAGTCTGGGCTGGAAGCCCGGCTCGCGGAGCTGGACAGCCGCTACAGCGCAGCACACTCGCGCCACCAGGCGGGTGCCCAAAGCTCAGTGGAGGAGCGGCTGCAGGCCATCGAGCGAGAGGCAATGAAGCGTGCAGAGGCACACGTGGCCTCAAAACTGGAGCATTTCAAACAGAGCGAGCTGGCGCGCGTGAAGGCACAGGCCCGCATCGAGCTTAAGTACATATGTGCACATATTCGTGTGGTGTCAGACACATGCGGCAACTGTGTGCGTGCGTGTGCATGTGTGTGCATGTGCGTGCATGTGTGTGCATGTGCGTGCGTGAGGATGCTCGTGTGTTGATGGGAAGGCTGTCACACTGAACACCCATCCCTTCGTCTGTGGCTTTCACACACTGCAGGGCACAGTATGACGAGAAAGTGGCTGAAATGGAGGCTGGATACGAGGAGCGTCTTTCACAGCTGGCCAAACGCGAGCACGACCTCGATGGCGCCTATCATCGACGTCTCCAGGAGATTGGTACGGGCACATCTGCTTCGCGGCCGTGCACTGCGCGCGCGTGTGCGTGTGTGGTGTGTGTGGTGTGTTTGTGGTGTGTGTGGTGTGTAAGTTGTGTTGTGTGTGTGTGTGTGTTGTGTGTACGGCGCTCATGTCATGTATTTTTCCATGCTGGTTGTACGTTGGATTGCACACGTGTTCGCACCAGAGCGCACGCTGTATGAAGAACGACAGCACATCCAAGCGCGCGCACGCGATTTGGCTGCAAGGGAGGCGGAGTTGCAGCGGGAAGCACACCACACAGCGAGGTCTGACTTGCACCGGCATATGCATCCGACCGCGGGCTTTGTGCTGCTTGTGTCATGTGTCACTTCTCTTGTCATCGTCGCTGTCGCTGCCGTTGTCATCCTCATCATCACGTCCACCACCATCACCACCACCACCATAACCATCACCACCATCATCAGGGCGGCGCGACTGCATGAGGACGCAGCGACACACACGGAGGACGCGATTCGCGCGAAGGAGAAGACGATGGCAGAGATGGAGGAGCAGTACCAGCGGAAACTGCAGACGGAAATCGCCGCCATGAAGGTGTGTGTGTGTGTTTGTGAAGGTGTGTGCGTGTGTCTTGCAGGCGGGGAATTGAACTTGTGTGATTTTCCATGCACGCAACTGCCGTCTTTCAACCATCGCTTTCGTTCACTTTTACACACATACACACACACATTCATACGCACAAACAGGATGAGTTGCGCGCGCAGTTGGCGGACCGCGAGTCCGAATTGCGTCAGCGCGAGCACGTGCTCGAAGAGCAGCAGGCGACGGTGTCCAGACAACAACTGCTGACTCAGCACTTGCAGGAGGAGAAGCGGGATCTCACGGACGAGGCGCGGCGGCTCAAGGCGGAAGTGACGGAATTGCAGCAGAAGAACACGCGCATGCAGATCAACCTTGCTGAACTCAACGCTGTTGCATACAAGATTGACGGCTTTGACGCACTGCAATCACAGCTGGCAGAGTGGAAGGTATGGCTGGGCATAAGCGCACTTGCACAACAAACACACCCACACAAGCACAACAAACACACACACAACCACCTTCCCTCTCTCTTGATTGGATGTATGTGTTATGCGAGCAAGCGTTGGGTTGTGTGCTGTTCTTGTTTTGTGTTGGTGTTGTCTCTCCTCACGATTTGGGTGTGCTTGTCATGTGCGCATGAGCAGGATCAAAATGCGCAGCTGCGGGCGGACCACGAGCGTGACATCGAGAGGAAGGATTCGCTCATTGCGGATCTGCAGGCCAGAATGAAGCGTTTCGAAGGACCGTCCCGTGGGGAGCGGGAATGGCGCGCGCGTGCACATGAACTGCAACAGCGGAATGAACAGCTCGCCCGCATGGTGGAATACGAGCGGCAGATTGCAGCGTGAGTTGCCCCCCCCCACACACACTGCATTCGTGTATGCTTCCCGTGCTTGATGTGTGCACTTTGTCCGCGTGCGTGAACGCACTTTGTATGCGCGTGTGAATGCACTGTGTTTGCACATGTATGCTTCGCATCCGTGTGACGCATGCAGCTACAAACATACATACACACGCACACACGCACGAGTTTGTTTCAAGCTCATGCGCATGCACCACCCACATCCACGCATACACATGCATGCAGTCAATCGCAGTCGCTTGTGGCGGAGCAGAAGCAGCAGCTGACGTCCTTGCATCAGCAGCTGCTCCATCGCGATGTGGACAGTTGGTCCACTCCTCCAATCACGCGCGTCCCAATACAGCCTTCAACTGCTGGAGGCGGAACCCAGGTGCGTCAAAGTGTGTGTGTGTGTGTGTGTTGGTTTGTTTTCTGTTCGCTTGTTTGCGTACGTGCTTAAGGACGCAGGTGCGCGTACATGTGTGCGGCTGCGTTCCCTTGCTTGCTATGTAGCTCACCCTCTTCTTCATTGTGTGCATTCACCCTCTGCCGTGTTGGTGTCTGACTGCTCACCAGCGTGCATGGAGCATGCCGAGCAACGTCGTTGATGCCAGCCGCTACCGTGACCGCCGCCTGCGATATTCACCCGATGCATTGGCTGGTGACGCGCATACGCGCAGCGACAGCACACGCCAGCGTACCAACATTACCGTGGGTGCTGCTGGTGCTGCCGGTGATGTTGATGATGATGATGATGATGATGATGATGATGATGACGTGCATGTTGCGACACTTGATTTGTCGCGTCGTGTGGCTGTGATGAAGGAGGCGGACCTGTCACTGCACAGCCGAAGAGGAGCGGCGCTACCGGAACACAGACGCCATCACCAGCAGCCGGCACCTCAGCAGCGACAACAGCGACAGGAACCACAGCAGCAGCAACGACAGCGAGGGCGACACGACGTGAGTGTTGATTCATTTCGTGATCTCGGTCGTCATTGGCAGCAGCGGGACGAGAGCAGCATCCAGCAGTTGTACCCACACCAACTTGGAGGCAGTCGTGATGGTGGTGGTCGTGATGATGGCGGTCGAAGGGGGAGGGAGCGCGCATCTGGACGGTATGAGCATGGATTTTGTGGCGCAGACAAGGCAGCAAGAACACGTCCACAACGAAGAGGCGAAGATCACGTGGACAGGATTGAAGTGAAGCGGGCGTATGGTGGCCGTGATGTCCGTCGCGGTGCTGGTGTTGATCCTGGTGTTGGTTTCGGCGATGGTGGTGTTGGGAACGAGGGGATGCTTGGCGGTGCTGGTGATGGTGGTGTCGATGGTGTTGGTGATGGTGTTGGCCTGATGTCGACACCAGCTGCTGCGCGCGATGGATGGAGAGCGGCGGGTGCGCGCAGTGACGACGAGTGGGGTGTGCTGGGCCGAGCAAGCGGTGAAAGCAGTGATCGTTGGAGGAGTGGGGTAGATGGGGCTGCGAGTTCGCTGGTGACACAGGAGAGGAAGGTACACATGGGAAGGGATGAAGGGGCTACCAGACATGAGGAAGAAAAACAACTGCAACGAACCAAGCAGCAGCAGCAAGAGCAGCAACCGAGTGTGCATCACCAGCGGCAGCCACAGCAGGAAGAACAGCAACAGCGACAACAACAGCGGCCAGAGTCACTCGCGTCCAACACACCGCCTGTGAGCAGAGGGCGTGTGAAGCCATGGGAAGAGCCCTCGTCATCAACGCCGGCACAGGCAGCGCCAGTGTCCCCACTGTCCTTGTTTGGTTCGTCCATGACTCAGCCACGGCCTGCCACCCTGTTCCCCAAACCGCCCGCGTATGATGAGGGCGGCGTGTCTGGTGAAAGCGGTCGCACAGGGGATGGGGAACAGCAGCAGCAGCAGCAGCAGCAGCAGCAGCAGCAGCAGCAGCAGCAGCAGCAGCAGCAGCCGTCGTCGTCGTGGTTGCAGACTGGCGGTTTGCGCCGGGAAATTCAAACAGCAACGACGACGACGACGACGACAATGCCAGCAGCACCAGCAGCAGTTGTGACGACACTGCAACCAGCGCTCAGGGGTAGCGGTAGCAGTGATCCTGGTTGTCCTGGTGGTCGTGGTGGTCGTGGTGAGGGTGCCACCTTAACCACCACGCCCCACTTCAGTGATGTGGTTGATGGGCGTGATGGTGATGGTGATGACGACGATGGCAATGCATCTGTGTCGAGCAGTGTGAGTGCTGACATTGAGCGGCGGTTTTCGAAGGTGTTTGAGGCACGTGGACACGAGCCAGCAGGAGCACGCACATGGGGTGACGAGATGGGATTGGAGAAGGATGAGGAAGAGAAGGAAGAGGGTGAGGGGAAGCAGCAGGAAGCAGAGAAGGAGGTGGCGGCGCCCGTGGACATGGTGGAGGGTGAGGGGAGTGATAGCAGTGTAGTGAAGAAGGAAGCGGAAGCTATGGGCTTGAATGATGACAGCTTGATGGCGGGGATAGAAGCACACGAGCCGAAAGCGGAGAGAAATGAGCCAGAAGAAGGTGAAGAAGGTGTTGAAGAAGAAATCGCTGTGCACCTTGATGTGCGTGATGATGATGATGATGAGGAGGAGGTGCACAAGGTGGACCCTGAAGTGGGCGGGTTGGTGGGAGACATCACCCAACCACGGCAACAGCAAGAGCACCAGCAGCAGGAGCAGCAAGCACAACAACAGCAACTGTCTCGGCCTCGCAAGTCTGCGCTGGAGCGACTCCGAGAGGTGCGAAATCCACATGCGATGCACTGTCTGTTCTTAGATGTATTGTCCGTTCTACACACACACACACACACATCTACACACACGCATACACACGCATCTACACACATACACACGCATACACACACATCCACACACATCCACACACACGCATACGCACACATCTACACACATACGCACACACACACACACACGCACACGCGCACACACACACACACACACACACACACGCATGCATGCTCACGTGCTCATTTCAACTACAACAACCCTCTTTCTTGGCTTGACACTTTGCTGCACGTCATGAGCAGATGGAGGAGGAAGAAAAAATGCAGGCAGTGAAGCAGCAGCAGGAAGAAATGGTGCGTCGTGGCTGCATTCTTGGTTTGCTCGTTGTCGCTTTGCACCTGCTTTTTGTTCCCCCTTCTGTCCAATGTTCACGCAACCCAATCTGGCTCATCTGACTGTGTGCACCTGTTTGAACACCTCAGCAACAGCTTGAGGCAGCAGTCACACCATCCCCATCGTCAGCCGCTGACAGTGGCGATGAAGAGGGGGATGGTACCGTCACACCAACACCACACGCCAATGACCACTACGAGGATGAGGGCTCAAACACGTGAGTCATAGCTTGCATCCACTGGATTGTTGCTTTGGTTGCATGTGTTTCGTGTTGAAGTCAGTGGATCCGGCACCCCGCCTCCTTTCTATTGTGCTGTCCTCCTTTCGTTGTGTTCACCGGGCGTTTTGTCCACCACGGTTGCTGCCCACTCGATGGTGTTGACAATGTGTGCAGGCCCGAGCCTTCATCACACTACAGCAGCATCTTGAGCGACGAGCCAGGTGAAGATGCAGTCTTTTCCGATGGTCGTGTTGATGTCAGCTCGTGTCATGCATATTTGGGGGGGGGGGGAAGGAAAGCGGCTTTACTCATTTCCGTCCGTCTGTTCTCATTTGCACATACGTTCGCGCGCTTGCCCTTGTTGTGGATTGACAGTTGATGATGTGAAGGAGGCGGAAGCCGGCGCACCAAACTTGGATGGTGCGTATGTGTTGCTTGGCGAGTTTGATTGTGTGTGTATGGGTGGGTTTGGATGTCTCGGTCACACATTGCGCGTCTCAACACACACAGACACACAGACACACACAGACACACACAGACACACACAGACACACAGACAGACAGACACACACACACACACACAGACACACAGACACACAGACACAGACACACACACACACACAGACACACACACACACACACACAGACACACACACACACAGACACACACACACACACACACACACACACACACACACACACACACACACACCACACCACACTAACCGCTTTCCGCGTTCTTGTTCACTCCATTCTGTGCAGATGCGATGGACGATGTGATGCGCATGTACATGGCGCGCGTGGCGCAGGCCCGAGAGCAGGCTGGCGCGAGCTCAGACCAGCAGCAGATGAACAGCCAACAGCAGCAGCAAGGGCTGCAAGTGGCAGGGCATGGCTCCTTGCAGGGCGCTAAAGCCGTGGGTGGCGATGAAGGAGAGCATGTGGAGGAGGAGGACGAGGAGGACGCTTATGAAGACGACTTTGAGTTTGAGGACGACTTTGAGATTAGCGGTGGCGGCGGTGATGTTTCGGAGGAGGAGGAGGGAGACGTCAAGTCAGGTGGCGGTAGCGGTGACAAAGGCCGGGAGTCACCCATTAGCAGCAACGTTCCATCAGGTATATGTGTGCGTGTGTATTTGCGTGTGCGTGTGTGTGCGTGTGCGTGTGCGTGTGCGTGTGCGTGTGCGTGTGCGTGTGCGTGTGCGTGTGCGTGTGCGTGTGCGTTGCGTTGCGTCTTTTCGTCCTTGTGTGTGTGCGGAACGCTCATCCTCGCATGATATCCAACACATTTCAGAGTCGTTCCACTTTTCCCAGTCTTCCGACGGTGGCGGGCTTGACTTTGGCAACGGCGACGACAAACACGACCAGCAACAGCACAGCAGCGATGATGACGACGCACTGTGGTGATTGCATGGACAGGCAGTGAGCCGCAAGCAAAAACGGGAAGGATGGTTGGTTGAAAGCGTGGAAGCAAGTTGAGCAAACTTTGCCGTGGTGTGTATGTGGTAGAAGATTCGTAAGTGCATTAATAAATTTCCTCTCATTCATGCAAGCGCCACGTGTCGGCCACCCGGCCAGTGAACCACCTCGATGGTGAGTGATGTGTCATGTCGTGAGTGTTCTACCTGTGACGACTCTTGCCCCCCTTTCTCTCCTTTTCTTTTGTCTCTCCCTCTCTTTTCTCTTTCTCTGTCTCCCTCCCCATCCGTTTCTCTTTCACATCACAACGCACACCATGCAAGCTTTGCGTTTGTTGGTGGGGTGGTTGCGGGTTCTCCTCGTCCCCTTCCACCCTGCCCGCCATGCTTCAATTTATTGAAAGCAAAGCGATACAAAGCCCTACCACCCTCGTCTGAGGGTGCGGGTAGCTGCGCGATCGCATTCCTAGTGCCCTTTTTATAACATGCATAACGGAATTGAAAGCGTTTGATACACCTCACTTTGTGCGTGCGTGGTTTCCCCTTTTCTCCCTCTTTCATTCCTTTTCTTCTCCCTTGCCTTGGATACACACCTTCTCTTCTGTACACTCACACCTTGTTGGATTGTCGGCCCTCGCATGATCTTGCAACTAGGTTGACTTGATCCTTGGATTGGCTTCATGAGGATGCAGAGAGCTTCCAGGAGTACCTGCGATACGGCATCCTTCGAATTGATGCTCTTTGCTTGCTATTTATTTTCAGTGGTGCGACGGTTGCGTGAGATGTGCTGACCGTGAAGGCTTTATTGATTGTGTGCCACTTGTTTCCATATCCGAACACGGCCATTATCGAGTATGTTCTTCGGTGCCGCCGACTCCTTGCGTCTACTCTTAAACACTCAATAAACGACCCGAACCTCAAACAGTCAGTATCGTGTGTGTGTGTGTGTGTGTGTGTGTGTGTGTGTGTGTGTGTGTGTGTGTGTGTGTGTGTGTGTGTGTGTGTGTGTGTGTGTGTGTGTGTGTGTGTGTGTGTGTGTGTGTGTGTGTGTGCACGGGCGCCCACGAACCACCACACGAACCCCGCGCGGGCCGAAGATACCCCCCCCCCTCGCCAGAGCCACCATATAGATAAAAATTAAACCGGGGGGCGGTGTTCCTGTCCAGCAAAGCAAAGAAAAACATAACACCCCACCCCAGAAGAATAGAGAGGGGTGAGCAAAAGACAGCGAGGGGATGGATCAATCATGTGGACTGAGTCTGAATTAATGACGTACTACCCAGCTTGCGGATCCCCCACACAACGGAGGAGCGAGGCGAAGATGTGCATTATGGAGGAAGATCAGGAGGGCTGGTTTTGTTGTCGGTCTTTTTTGTTCTTTTACAAAA